GGATTCATCTGATGTATGGGAGAAGTGGCGGAGAATCGGGAATGGATTGGCGAGGATGTGGCCCGAGTCTAGGAACGGAGGACGGTCCTGTGGCCTACGGGGGAAGCAGCTAGCATTCTCAGAGTTTGCATGCACGGTCCATATATAAGGGGAGGCGGTGGCGGAGGGGGCGGATGTTGGTGCTGTGGCCTGAGGAAGGTTCTTGACGGGTTGCGGCGCGGGAGAGGGCCGCGAGGGGGGGTGGGAGGGGGGGATTGGGAAGGGAGAGGAAGGTGGACATTGTGGTGGTGGTGGTATTAATGTGCGGTTGTTGATGCTGGTGCGGTGAGATGTTTTTGGGGATGAAAAATGAGATGGTGGTGGCAAGAAAGTTCGATGAACGAACCGGGCTGAAGTGGGATTTGCTGAGTTGGGTGGCCGTTGCCTTGCACTAGTAAAAAGTGAAAACTAAAAGCTGGTGTGAACAAAGTCAAGAAGTGTTTGTAAGCTGATGATATTTTCAGAGATGATGTTCTGGAAGCTGTGAAGCTCACCGCATGTCTCAGGTCTCGGGACGAGCCGAGGCGGTCGGGGAAGTGGGGCATGTGCCATGTTTTGATTGGGTGGCGTGTTGTTGTCGGGCACAGTACCCGCCCCCGGCGAACGCACGCCACCTTCGACACTCCAGAACCGAAGTTAGGACACGGTGAAGCTGACAAAATCGAACGGACATCGTAAATATTAAGGCTTTTTGCCGCTGACGGATACAAGAAGTCTTCTGTCCACACCATCATATTGCAATTGAGTCTTTGTGTTGTGGACAAGTCTTCCTGAAGCTACTAATCACCCCAGGCAACGAAGCCCCTGAAGATCATCGACACCCACAAAAGGGTCCGGTATCCACACATCTCTTCACCACCTAGACTTTTGATCCAAACTCCTCCTTTGAGCACATACATATCTGTCATGTGATGCCCCAGAGGTCAATAGAACTGCCACAATGGTTCTTTTGGGTACGAGTACTTGCTGGGTCCTCCCTTCGTCGGCAAAGGTAAGAAGCTGAACCCCGAATGGATGATCTGGAATGGCATTAAGCCACTGGTACCCCGCCAGATTGCCTTGCACTGCGTTTTGAAGATAGCCGAGCAGAGATTGGTGACCTTGAACCGAATCCGGGATGAAGATCATCATGCCTTGAATCAACTTTTGTCCGGCCCGTAACCTCACCAAGAACAGCCTTCGGTAATTGGCACAGCCGATGTCAAACCCCAACCACAAACTTCGAGTGGTCCCTTGAAGGTTGGATTTCATTATTTTATTCAACCACTACCCGACGGAAACATTGTCGAGGTGCGACAAGGCGCCCCCCAGTGCGTCCCAGATAGGGCGAGGTAACCCTGTCTGAAGAGGCCTAAACATGACTGGAAATGGAAAAGCATCCGAATATATTTTCTTGACAGCAAAGTCATCAGCGTTGTGGCATCCACACAGACCGTGATAAATAGATAGAGCTATGCGTATGGTAGGTATGGGTAGTGGCGACTCAGTGAGTTCCCTCTCAGGAGAACTCCATTTGGCAGCGACCCAAGGGGAACAGATGGTGATTGAAGCCCATTTGGCGCCGTCCATGGAGCTTCTCGGAACTTTGACTGGACCCAACCAGCTTGAATGGCAAAAGTCATCATCGCCATGCTCCCGCTGAAAATAGGACCTGCGTGTTAATGGAACTATAATACCGTGCCCACTGAGAGGCTCAATGCCATGAATTCCGTACCCCGTATGGTGAAAGACTGGGTCTTGTTTCAGCGGTAGGCTGATGCTCATGCCTTGCTGATTTGGAGAAAAGGTCGGACGTCTGAATTTCTCGGCACCTTTATAAGGTCTTAATAAGCCTGTCGGGGACCGAAAGTCTGCTGGGCTACGCGCGGGAGCATCGACAGGAGAGTCGTAGTATAGCCAAAATCCTGCCTGTCCTCTGAAATTCGTCGACATTGGTATCGCAGGAAGACCAAGTCCCCAGGCGAATAATGTGCAGTCATCGTTCACTCTCCGAGTAGGCAGTAGGCTTGGTCTTCGATTCTTGTAGTCTGTCTCCCAGCCGCCCACGACATCCTCTGAGCTTCGCTCACTTTCCGAAAAGTGTGATGCAGTTCCTTGACGTCCGTTTTCCCCGGTTCCTTACTAGATGCTCATTGATTTTGATCTTGGACATAATGTCTGCAGCTTGACTCCCACGAGTAAACCGAAAGTACCAAGTCCTGTCGTAAAACTCCACTTTCGCTGGCGCCAGAAGCTCTTGCAAGGTCCAGCCTCTTGTAAACCAACGGCTTTGGCTCACCCTGGCGGGATCATTCCTAAAGTCGATTTCCTCTGGATAGGGACATGATAGCGGTTCAAGATCGCTCAAGGAGACGAAGCAAACCTCAGCATAGGCATACCACTGAAACATGGAGTTGATAGCCTCTTGAAGCTCGGCGCTGCTAGACTTATCGATACAGCAAGTATCGATCCAAATGTATTTGAAAAATCGCCGACGTGCTACCTGGCAGGCGTTTGCGATCTTCTTCTAGGCTGCATTAGGGGGGTCGCTGAGATTGTAGAACGCATTAGGCTCTTGCATATCACGAAGTGTGACCTCCTTCCCTTCCCAGGTGTGGGATAAAATGGCATATGGGGGGATTGTATCCCCGATAAACTCTTCCAGCTCGTATGTAGTGGTGTGTAACAGGCGCATCTTGAACGCAGGGGATGTCCAGGAGGTGTCAATTGAGTAGAGATGTAGTTGAAATATTTACCCCGCTTGCATGTTGGCAGAGGGAGGGGTATTGTTGGGATGATAGCCACTTGATGACGCTTATTGGACAGGCATCTTGCGTGGGTCGCCTGCAGACAGAAATGCCGAGCTGCGAATTGTCGGGTGTCCTATTATGTCAGCCGTCAGATTGTGTGACTTGTATCAGAACATCGCTCTTTCAAGATCTTCCTTGTTTCTTAACCTCAAATCGTGTCCATTCAATCTTCGACATCATCACTTACCATGGAAAGACGCCGTAGCCAAGCCTCTAATAGGCCGGCCTCAAGAGCCTCCACCAACTCTTCCCACACCGCTCGAGCCTCCTCAAGTTCTCCGTCCAGTCGGAGTTCCGTCATCATCACCAACCCGGATTTCTTCGTCTGCGTCCAAGAATACCTTAAGCCTCTCATGGCTATCTCGGCGCTTGGGTGCCCGATCACCTTTGCCTTGATTGTCTCGCCTATCGCCGACCCCGCACACCTCAGCCACAACGGCTTCAAGTTTTCGTTGGAAACAGTTCGACTATTGATATCAGTCAGCTGGTTGTTCTTCACGCTCACACTGGGCCTGAGTGTATTTACCTACAATCAGTCGTTCTACAATCAGCTGAAGGTTGGTGGACCTCCTCCGCCCTCGAGCTTCTATTACCGGTGGGCGGATATGGTGATGAACACGCTAGATGTGCTGTGTATGGGGGCCTTTTTGATGATTGCGTTGGCGGCTGCATCGTATGTGCCGGTTGTTGGGTGGTTGGCTGTGGGAGTCGTTGGATGTTATGCCGTGGCAGTAACGATCTACTCCATCGTGATGAGGTTTGAACCAGACGGGGAAGATGGGGATGAAGAATCGGCTCGGTGAGGGAGAGAGAAAGTCGGTTAAGGTGTGGAAGAACAGAACCAGGGTAAGATAGACGGTATACACAAAGTAGACACCCCCATCTCAATCAACTAAAAGATGTCGCTGCTCACCGGGTTCGCAATCTCAATCATCGAATGGATGGCGAGACACAAATTCATGCCAAACTATTGTTACACGCAGAGGTGATCCGACCGCTTGACCCCACTCGTTTCGACAGAAAGCATGATCGTCTGGGTTGCAGGCGGCTTACTTTGGGTTTGTAGTTCTCGTCAACCATCAAAAGAATCCCGGGCTGACTAAGATGCCAAACCCACCCACACAGAACCTACCCCATCGCCTCCCTCGGCCATGCAGCCTGGATCCTCCGCCACTATGGCTACCGCGCGACCTTCATCTGGGGGCTCTTTCTCTATGGCCTCGGCGCCCTCCTTTGCATCCCCGCTACAATCGCCCACTCCTTGGCCGGCTTCTGCATCTTCATCTTCATCATCGGCAACGGCCTCGGCTCCCTAGAGACCGCCGCAGACCCTTACATAACCGGTACCTCTTTTCCCCCTTGATCCCATAAGGTAGCCACCCTTTACTAACACGCTCACTCCAGTCTGTGGCCCCCCAAAACACGCCGAACTGCGCATCAACCTAGCCCAAGCCTTCAGCGGCATAGGCGGCATCGTCGCCCCCCTTTTAGGTTCATTCGTCTTTTTCGGCTTCGACAACGAGGAGAAAGCGCTTCAGAATGTCCAGTGGGTGTACATGTCCATCGCCATCTTTGTCTTCATCCTTGCGGGTGTTTTTATCCTGGCGGAGATACCCGAGATGGCCGACGCGGACATGGCGCTGCAGGAGGAGGAGGCTGCGAAGAAGGGCAGGGTGTTGGGGACGGAGGCGTATCAAGTTTATGTTGAGGAGCAACCACATGCTATTGGGCCAGTAGCAAAGGAGTTGCCCTTCAGAAAGCAGTACAGGCTTTTTCATGCGGCGTTTGCCGAGTTTTGTTATACTGGGGCGCAGGTTGCTGTTGCGAGGTAGGTTGAGTTTGATGTTGAAGAGACGGGAGAGGGGCTGATAGGGACACTTATTTCATCAACTATGTCACCGAGACAAGACCAGACACCGACTCGGCCACCGCGGCGAGGCTTCTTGCCGGAGCTGAAGGCGCGTTTGCTGTTGGGAGGTTTGCAGGGGTGGGGATCATGACTTGTGTGAAGGCGAGGAAAGTCTTTTTGGGGTTTGTGACCAGGTGTTGGGATTTGACCGCTCCGGCGATCACGCAGAGGGGAAACGTGGGGATGAGTATGTCGTTTGTTGTTTTGTTCTTTGAGAGTATTTGGTTTCCTACGATTGTGGCTTTGGGGATGAGGGGGTTGGGGAGGCATACCAAACGAGGGGCGGGGATCATTACTGGGGTTTTCGGGGGTGCGGTGGTGCCGCCTTTGTTGGCTGCTGTGGCGGATAGTGACGGGGGGAGGATGGGGACGGCGTTGGGCATGCGGTGCCGATGGTTTTCTTTTTGGCAAGTTGGACGTATGCGTTGGCGGTGAATTTTTCGGGACGGTATAGGGGGGCTGTGGATGCCTTTGTTGGTGGCGAGGGGGCAAATGGGGTTGAGATGGGGGATAGAGTGGAGAGAGGGCATGATGGGACGGGGGTGGTGAAGCCGGTGACGGATCTGGAGAATATGTCTGGTGTTGTGTTGACCAAGTGATATTCTTTTGGGTTCCGGCAATTGGAGAGAGGAGTTGATATGACGAGAACATATCAGAGTTGGTAGGAAAGGATAGAGTTCTATTAGTCGTGTTGGCTTTGGACTCTATTGGGTGGTAGTAAGATAGAGTGCTACCTGGTATCTACTTGATAGATAAATAGTACTTGTGGTGAGAGTTGTATAAAGATATGAATGAACGCAGTCATTGCTACCGATGTTTACTGTTAACAAGCAGACCTCGTATAGGTAGGTATGTTGGCCTGGGCCAATTTTGTAGGGTTTTGCTGATATGGGTTGTCCCACAGCTTTTTGAGGTCTTGTGTTCTTGGTTACTTGTGTGTACCAGCTACATAGCAAAAATAATCACCCAGCAATGAGGAACAATACAGCATTACTGGTTATCCCGGACAGTCAATGTCTAATTTAGTCCCTTCCCAAAAATGCCCATCATATGTACAAAACGTATTACTACAAATATATATAAGTTTTCTTTCGTGGTGGCCTGGGAAGCTCTCTTTTCCCATTTTTTACCCTCGCCCACGCCAACAAGTCTAACATGCAAATCTGAGCGTCAGAAATAAAGAAAGCTTAGCTCAAACAAGAAAAAATTCATCGCCATGAAACCCATCATAAAAGAAATTCCCAACTTTTCGTGTCAAAAGAAAAACAAAAACTCCGTTCATGTCATATCCATCAATGCAAACCGCTCTCGCCGGTAGCAGCCATATACTTCTGGCAGTTGATCAAATGCTCAACCTGGTCGCCCACCTCCTGCAACCTGTTCAGGACCTTCTTGTTGCCATCCTCGAAGCTGAGAAGAACATATGGGATGTTCGTCTCGGCGCAGAATTGCTTGACCAGGGTCTGGACCTTGCGCAAGTTATGTCTGGGTACACGGGGAAAGAGGTGGTGGACGGCCTGGAACTGGAGACCGCCGTGGATGAAGTCGAGCCAGGCGGGGCAGTCGACATCCATGGTGGTGCGCAGCTGGCGCTGGGGGAAGGATTCGGATTCGCCGAGGTCAGAGGTGGACATGGCCCAGTGGGAGAGGGTGATTTGGACGTGGAGGGGCATGGTGACGATGTGCGAGACAAGGACGAATCCGATTCGGACGGGCCAACTGGGAAGGGTGCACCAGAGGAGGAGGTAACCAAAGATGTACCAGTAGCAAGACATCATGGCGATCTCAGCGGGGCGGATCCACCACGCCTTGCTGCTTCCGAGGGACGAGGCCTTGGAAGAAAGGACATGCAGCCACGAGAGGAGGTAGAGGTTGAAGCGCGCGATGCCCATGACAGGGTAGTAGGTGTACTTTTGGAAGGGTACAAGGAAGTTGGCAGCGGCGTCCCAGATGAAGGTGAAGTCGTAGTAGGTCGAGTGAAGGCTCCGGAAGAAAGAGGGCGAGGTGGCGAAGATAGGGACGTTCTGGATATCGGGATCGTGCTCGGGCATGTTGGTGATGAGATGGTGAACGTTGTGACTGCTCTTCCACCAACCAATCGAAAGACCGCAGCAAAAGTCGGCGACGAACATGCCAATTAGACTGTCGATAACAAAGTTTCCGGTGATGGCGCGATGGCCGGCATCGTGCGCAACGAACATGATCTGATGCCAGAACAAGCCCAGGAAGAAAGCTGATGTCAAGTACCACTGATTATAGAGAGCGGTCATGGAAGCGACGAACAGAGTGGTGTAGCGGCACATCTCCTTGCCATACTCGATGTAGGGGCACTCGTAGAGGTTGAGTTCGTAAACCTTTTCATGGAGCTCGCGGTATTTCTTGACAATGTCTTGCTGCACAGCTGGGTCGACAGAGGGATACTCGAGGATGTCGCGGGCCTCATCCTGCTTCTCGGCCCAGGTGGTAAATGCCAGAGGGTCCTTCTTTCCAACATAAATCTTCTTGGCAGACCGGAATCTGAATGTCTCGCCATCTGTCTCGCCCATGCGCTCGATTGTGGTCTCCTCGGGGTCCTCTCCGCAGCTATCCTCTGAAGTAGGAGCTGTGCCCGTGCTTCGCGACTCGGAGATATCACTAATGCTCGTCTCCAAAACTGAAGAGTCCTCGGCATCGGATACGTCGGTGGGGATGGTGGATTCGACAGCGGGCTTCTCCTCGGGCTCCTTGACGTAGACGCCACCGCGAATTGGTGGTGTTGTGTTCGTCCAGATGCCGGGAGGCTTGCGACCAATACGGAAAGCCTTCATGGTCTTTAATGTTGGGGGTTTGTGGTACCTGCGTAGACGCCCCACCAATGTGTCAGCACTCAACTGCATCCATTGTCCAGTCGGAAGCAGGCAATATTTACGCATTGATCTCGTCCGTCGCATCCTTTCCAACCATGTGAAGAATGGCCAGACTGCCACCGGGATGCCTCTCCAGCCACGAGTCCAGCTTCAGTACATATTCGTCGTAGATGACAATGATGTGGCCGTCGGCGATGAGGTCCTGAACCGCCCGTGGGCAGAGGACGTTGTCGCGCGACATGATGGTATTGTCGGGGTGCTGTATTGTAGGTAATATGATGGGTTTATGTTGGATGTTGAAAGGGTCGGGGTATTTGTTGACTTTGTTGACTTTCTTGTCTAGTAGGTTTGGCCGATGACTGGCTGGCGGAAGTGTAAATAAGAAAAGAGAGAAACCTGGAACGGCAGAAAAAAGAGCGAACGGGTGGGAAGTAACCCAAGAAAGCAGGGTGCAACGAGAGACTTTTTGTGGAATCCCAGATAACGGAGCAACTCCTTAAACACCAGGAGCGGCTAAAGGGGAGATGGATGACGAGCCGAGAGAGAGACGAGGGAAACAGGGAAAGGCAAAGTCTTGGGAGGTGAATCCATGGAACTAGACTGCACGTGGGGCAGGACCCTGAAGATGGGAGGAGCTCTGAAGCTAAAACCAAGTGGGCAGCTTGGGGCAACTTGGCGTTGGGGCTGAGCTCAACCACCGCGCGGTCTCATCTCCTCTGTCCCGCAAGCGAACCGGGCCAAATCTTGGAATGGCTTGGATGGTGTAACCACGGGAGTGGGTCGAGTTACCCAAGAGTGCGCAGAGTGCACCAAACATCTCGACACCCTTCACTCTGCTGGGCACTCACTGGCACTCTGCAGAGAGAGCTCCCGTCTCGATGAACTACAGAGGAGCGGAGCAGGAGGGTCGAGACCGACGCGAGCCCTCGCTTATGGTATGGAGACCACTGTGCCGGACCACCAAACAGTGTTCCGCTCCCGTTGGCGCATACCGTACACCTCACATGCACGACGAGACGAGTCGGGAATTGGGGAAAGGAAAAGGAAAAGGGGCGTGCCACCTGCCAACTATCCAACGGCGGGATTGACGTTTGTTTGGCGCCAAGACCGGCGATGGACAGGAGAGAGATCCGCCGTGACGGTCGGCCGGCCTCTGACAGGACCGATAGAAGGAGAGAATGCTGGGGGGACGCTGGGACAGGCCCTGCAATTTTTGTTTCTGATGGATCTGTTGTGCGGTGCTGGTCGCTGTTGTTGCAACCCCACTCCCGGTCGGCGGGCGCGAATCCCCGTCTGGTCTGGCCCCTTCTCCGCATCTGGAAGGTCACTTGTGGGCAGGGATCCGTCTACAATTTGCAAGGTCGGAAACTGAGCGGTGGGAATCTTGTCTTGGCAGGGGGAATCTCCCATCTCAAAAATTTCCCATTCATCTGCCCATTTCGCTGAGCACAACATCAGATTACCGCTCGTGATACTCCAGATGTCGAACCACCTTGGATTGGGAGACATCAGCTGGATTGGGAAAAAATGTTGTGCGACAAAAATCCAGAACCACACCATTTTCACCTCAGCTGAAGTCACGAGATGCCACATGCCCGCGTCCACCCACGTGCGGACACAAGGTGCATAAACGACTGCTTTCTTCCAACGCCATCCCAGACTCGAGTGGATCGCGTCATGCAATTGCCAAACCCTCCACGCTTCGCTGGCCTGTAGCCCTCGCGACCTCGTACGCTCTACACGCGTATGAAATCCGGGCAAAGGATCCGCGTATGGGCGGCGATAAAACTATGTATGTTACATATGTGCTGTCTTGGTTTTGGGATTGCGAGATGTTCGGATACTGCGACATTGCTTATCGATACCGATAAGATACAGCTAGCAAGCCTTTTTGATTGTGTGGAGCTGCGGTTCCAGAGTGGGCCAATTAAGCTTATCTTTCAACCCCTGGTCACTCGTTGACCTCAATTCACAACTACGGCATCTGTCTCAACCATAAACAGGTTTTTTGGTCATTTTTTTTTTAAAAAAAAACAGAAGCTCGGACCCTCAAGGAAGCTCAGGATGAAAAACAGGCTTTTGACTTCTCATCTTAACGAAGCACTTACTCTTATCGAGCGGAATAATTTGTATGAGGGTAAGGAGTAGAAGCTTCAACTCTGGTGAGCGCTGGACTGCCACCAAAGCCAAACGGAAACTTCTGGATCTTTGAGGAGACTCATAGCCATGCGCCTAGGTTCGACGAGGCTTGCCCACGATCTGGGCACGAGAATGAAGGGCGTTCAAGAAACAGTATGGAGGATACTGGACTTCCAGAAGATGATTGGTACGAATGGCGACAACCTTAGCTGGGCCATGTACAAGTTCATCGAGCCAATCCGGGAGATTTCCACCATGGGGACACAGAGTGCATCTACGAACCTTATAAGCTTATGGTTTGGCGCCGGAATCTTACATGGACTCATAAAGTTTCTGGAAAGGGTGAAAGGGCGCCAGACGAGTCGGCTGACAAATTTTTCGCCTCTCTTATTCGGAACTGGGACAAATACGATGGGACTGGGCAAGGGCCAGTAGGAAGTAGGGAGTGGTGGGAGCGGGAGTGGGACGAGTTGTGCAAAGAGAGATTTGCAATACGGCGCGGGAAGGGATTCAGCCATGGTTACCGGAGATGCGGAAGGCTATATTGGAGGCTATGGAAACCCCGAATGTTGCAGAAGCTGTTAGCGCAAAGGATGAACAACCCGCGTAGAGAGGAGTTTCACCATAGACTACCTACCTAATGTCAACAACTAGCATGATAACTTTGTGCACACCTCACACTTGGTCACAACTGCCCCACCGGTACCAAATGGCCAACTGCGTGAGAGCAAGAGAGAGCCGAGCTTCGGATCCTCAGCTGGCCACTGAACGAACAGCTTGTAGCACAGATAGCACATGCAGTAAAGAAGCCGAACCACCACCTTTCTCACTCCCGTCATCAATAAGTTATGGAACTCACTCCAGACAAATAGCTTAACCTCACTCCCAAGAAGAAATACGGTCATTCCTGTCCAGTTGGGGTTTCCAATATTCTTAAGTTGGTGATACCAGGTAGCGAATGAGCCAGTACTGGCTGCCAACATCGCCGTCATCAATATTACCTCCCTACACTACCCCAATAACATGATCATTCTCTGCAAGAGGTCGCATGTGGTTGCTGTTGGGTCATCATCTTCCTATACACCGAGCTGACATCCGTTACTATTTACTTGTCTGGAGGCGATGTGGCATGCCATATGGTCATGGTATTTTTTCCACGCAGTTAGAGCATAATTGCCTCGAGTTTCTCTTCTAAAGCTCATTTTTCGAGGGTGTAGATGTGGCTTGCCTCGACATTGCAAAAAGTTGATGCCCTCGAGTTTTATTGATAACTTCAGCCGCAGACAACTTCAAACCAGCTCACGGGTGATAGCTTCAGGAAATGATGGCAAGTCGATTGCCTGCGTTTCAATTCAAATGATGTGACTCAACGGGGAAAGCTGAGCCGTCCAAAAGGGGAATCTCTAGCAGATTCTCCACGACTCAACAACATACAATACCACCTGCAGGATGCTCTATGAACCACAAATACAGACTGTGTAACCATTCAAATTATGAACACAAAATCATAAACGTGGCCCCTAAGGTCACCCTTTCATTTCAAAATGACCTCCAAAGCTGCCCTTCCCAACACGCCACTCTCCCCATCACCTCGCAGCAATCCTCACATTACAAACAATCCCGAACCCCGTCCGACTCTCCCACACCCCAAAGTCATTCTCCTTCCTAAACGTAATCTCCCTCGCCCTAACAGCCATCTTGACAGCATCCTCATTCTCTCCCGTCCCCGGCGTCCCCGGTGTAATCGGACTCGACGGGTTACTCCCCACCCTCTCCTTGTTCTTCGACCCCCAGCTCTTCCAAATACCCTTCTCCGCCTTCTTCTCCACCACGGTAGCCTGGACATGCTTTCTCTCCAGATTCGGCTCTGGCCTCAAATACGTCGCCAGTCTGCGCGCCATTCCCTCGTCTTTGAACCACAGCCACTGGGAAGTGTCACTGCTCCCTATACCGTCTGTGTCCTCGCATTCGAAACGACCCCATTCGTCAAACTCGGGCTTGTCTTCGTTGGGACTGTCGCCGTCGTCATTGTCTTCTTCTCTTGAGTAGGATGACTTCTCGCCTTTTCCTGTAGATTGGGTCGTGGCTGTTGAGCCGGTGCGCTGACTCAGTAGTTTCCCCAGATTGGCCTTGACAATTTTGACCACTTCCCCTTCTCGTCTCCGCTCCGCCGCGCCAGTCATTACCCATCCTTTCGGCACGGCGGCTTCCGGCACGAGGACTAACTCGGCGGCGTGGGATGGGTGGTTTCCCAGATTGGAGAGGAAGTGCTCGATGTGAGGGACCAGAGCGGTGATGATGTCTAGCTCGCGGGAGGCTTGCTCTGTTGCGCGGGCCTGCTGGGCTTGATAGAGACGTCTTGGAAGGGTTCGAAGATGGTTGGTCAGGGGAGAGGTAAGTGAGTTTGTTAGCGAGGATGGTAGCAGGACGCTATCGTTGCCTGTGCTGGAGCTGGGACCGGCATGGCTGCTGGTGAAGCTGCCGCCGGTATGGGATGTGGTGACGGCTTCGGTGTAGGTTGGGGGTAGGTCGCCGTCGTCGAGGCCGTCAAGGTAGGACATCTTTGCGTGTGTTGTCAGAGCTGAATGCTGAATCCCATGTCAAGTCCGAGAGTATGATTCGTGTGTCGGTTTGAGTGGTGGGTTACAGTGAGTTCGATGGAGAAGGAAATGCTCTCAAAAGTTCAATGCGCAGCCACCCAGGGGAGGTGAGGTGATTTGTGTCAGGTCAAATGCGGCAGCTCGTATCCCCGCAGCGGAACGTGGGCCTCCTAACCGCTGAGGTTTTGCAAGTTGTGATAGAAAAGATACCGTGAGTGCAAACGGAATTCAGTGCGAAAACGCCCGTTTCAGTGGTCTGTGATGCAATTTTCACCGAGGCGTCGCTGAGCCTTGCTGACAATCTGCCGGATTCCAGTCCAAGAATGTGCCTGGCGATGATGGCTTTGAGGGCAATGTGATAGCGATAAGTAACCCCGCCAAATTCAATGACGGCGGCCTGTGTGGGGAGACGGGTGTGGCTAAGCTATAACTTGCCGAATTGTTGGTTAAGGTAGCGCCTTGCAGGCTCGGCGGATCTTGTGTGCGGGCCGGGGTTAACTATCTCGGGGCTCGGGGCTCAATTGCGGCCTGACTGTAACCTTGTCATTTCTTCTCACATGATATCCCAACTGACGTTTATCTCCTGCTTGGGGCGATGTTGATCCAAGAGAAGAAGGACCTGCCAAATAGGTATTCCGTAACACGAACTACTAGGTACAGGCGGGACGGGGCTTGGCATGTAGATGGGTTACCTATCCGTGGGCATCGTGGTTTGATGTCCGACGGTTGCGGCTGACAGGTCGGTCAGAGATCGGGCCTCCAGATTGACGATTCGGTTCCTGAACTATGCTCGGTCGAGCTGTTGTCAAGTAAAAAGGATCCACGGGCTCAAACACCGAGACGACATTTGGTATTCTGAAGCGAGAATCTAGCACGTTGTGCTCTCCCGCAACAGCAGTGGTGCGACCCGGAAACGCTATGTTCCAGTGCATCTTCCCGGAGGATCACCGGTGCCACCCCTCATTTTCCCCAGTGAGTAACAGACAGCGCTTGGAATTCTTCCAGAACCCGCCAGCAGCCAAACATTCTCGCAACAGCATCCATCTTCCGTCTGTCATTGGTGCCACCGAGACAAGATTCTTGCCACCGAGCATTATTCCGCAAGAAAACCCTTTTCCCTTATCGGTGACACAGCCACACCCACAGGTTCAAGGCAGAATGGGCTAATCTCTTTGTGGCGACAGCATAGCCGTGTCAGCGGAACCACAGTGTTATTGAATGAGAACCCTGCGTTAGGCGGTATTGGCAAGGCTGTGTGTACTTGGCGAGTCGCTCGTAGATGTCTGGTTCACTGGTTTGCTGCCGTGCATCGTTGTACTTAAAGAAGAGGCTGACCCCGATTTCCAAACATAGCCATATCCTCATTATCATCCACCATATTATCCACGTGGATTTGCCAGTTGTCATTCATCAACAGCAGTTGGCAGTGGCGCAACAAAGATCCATCCACCACCAGCGTGACTACTTCATTCTCAATCCTTCGCAAACCTTAGCTCTCAGCCCAGAGAGCGCACACATACATAACCGACTGAAGGCCATTAACTTTTCGCGACTTTTTCCCCAATCATCTAACCACTCCATCTCACCACCAACACTGTCAAGATGGCCTCCTACAGAATTGCCGCTCCCGATGAGTACCTTGCCATCACTGGCATGGGAGTCAAGAATGGTTTGTTTTCGACCACTAAAGCGTTTTGGTGATCAGCCGCTAACATGCACCCCCAGTAAAAATCACCAAGGCCGCTTGGGTATGGCCCTTCCAGCGCTGCATGCGCTTCAGCGTGCAGCCCCACGACTACGCCATGAACCTTCAAGCCATGACCAAGGAGAAACTCCAGTTCCTTCTCCCAGTGGTCTTCACCGTCGGTCCCGACGTCAACCAGCGCGGCGCTAACAAGAAGGGCAAGTTTCCTGCTCCTCTTGGTGTCTCCGGCGCCGGCAGCGCTGGCTCCCCCGTCGAGGACGATGAGGACGGAGTCTATGACTACGACAACCACGGCCATGTTGCCGGTCGCGAGGACCAAGGGGACTCGCTCATGAAGTACGCCATGCTCCTGGCTGATTCTGGCGCCAAGAAGGTCGGCACCAAGGATTTCCTCGAGAACATCGTCAAGGGTATTATCGAGGGTGAGACGCGTGTGCTGGTGTCCAGCATGACGATGGAGGAGATCTTCACCGAGAGAGAGGTGTTCAAGAGGAGGATTTTCCGCAACATCAAGAGTGAGTTGGACCAGTTTGGTCTCAAGATTTACAACGCCAACGTCAAGGAGCTGAAGGATGCGCCAAACTCGATCTACTTTGAGAGTTTGAGCAGGAAGGCTCACGAGGGTGCTACTAACCAGGCCCGTATCGACGTCGCCGAGGCCCAGCTCAAGGGTAACGTCGGTGAATCCAAGCGCAAGGGTGAACAAGAGCGCGAGATCTCCAAGATCCAAGCCGAGACCGCTGTTGCCAAGACACAGCGCGATATTGAGCGCGCCTCCGCCGAAGCCGTCCTCGACACCCGCAAGGCCGAGCTCAACCGCGACGTCGAGATCTCCCGCGTGGCTGCCAAGCGCAGCGTCGAGGCTCAGGACGAGGAGTTGAAGGTCAAGGTCGAGATCAAGCGCGCCGAGGCTGAGCTGCAGCGTCTCCGTGCGACTGAGGTCGTCAAGGCCACCATTGAGCGCGAGGCCAAGCAGCAGGCTGCCGACGCTGCTGCGTACGAGATCGAGGCTGACGCCAAGGCCAACTTCGAGAAGGCGAAGCAGCTTGCTGAGGGTGCCGCCTACAAGGTCAAGGTTGAAACTGAAGCGGCGGCGTACCAGACGAGGCAGAACGCCGAGGCTTGGACTGATGCCGCGGTGAAGCAGGCTGAGGGTAGGCTTGCGGGTGACATCAAGACTGCGGAGGGTATGATGGCCATGGCGGAGGCGTATGCCAAGATGAGCCAGGCTTTCGGTGGTCCTCAGGGCTTGTTGCAGTACATGATGATTGAGAAGGGTACCTATGTCGAGCTGGCCAAGGCTAACGCTGAGGCTGTCCGGGGCATGGCTCCCAAGATCAGCATCTGGAACACTGGTGCTGAGGCTGGTGGTGAGGGTGGTGCTGCCAATGGCACGGCGGCCATGCGCAACATCTACCAGATGCTGCCACCTCTCATGACGACTATCAACGAGCAGACTGGCATCACTCTGCCGGAGTGGCAGTTTGGAAAGATGGCTGCTCAGACTGGGGAGGTGCAGAAGGCTATGAAGCCCAACAGCACCGCCTGAGCTGATGTGGGATGACGCCTGTTTTCTTTTGTTGTTTTTGCTTTTCTATTGTCTTTATATGGGAGACGACAACCGTTTAGTGATACCAGCATGTGAGGATGCATACAGAGATTGGTGGGAGAGTATGGGATCGGCGTTTATTCGTGGGTTTTATGCTATTGGTTTCCGCCATATATTTTCTGGGCATGTTTTTCATCATTGTATCTTTGGTCTTTGTTTCTTTTGTTTCTAGCCGCGTTGCATCAGTGATACCTCGGTTGTTTTTGGTGGATGAGTGGGACAAGGCAACATAGAAGGGTTGGACAGACAGACAGACAGCAGACTGATAATACATCTCTTTTGTGCCTAACCTTTGTTATTGAACAGCTGCTTTTATCGCCAACTTCATGTCACTTATTATGCTCCTGCGACCCTCTCACAACCCAGTCGGTCCAAACTCGCCGATCTAGACCCTGATGGACCTTGACCCCTCCCGCTCGGCCCAGGCACTGAGGGGACTTCATAATCTTCTGATATCGCCCCCAACGTTTCCAATTGCCACTGCCGCTCAGCCTCTGTTAATGATGCTTGTCAAAGACAGGATGCGTCATGTCTGGTAGGTACAACTGGCTCTCTTTCTAGACGTTTTGGCACAAAGCTACAGGACGAGTCTAGTCATTTGAGTGATTCTATTCTCTGTTCTGGTTAGAGAACGATGTGTCTGGGTCTCACCAACGCACTGGGCAGGATAATGAATGGGGCAGTTTGGTAGCAGAGCCACTTTGGATTATGGAATGGTAGCATTATACAATCCTCAACACCATCCGCCTTGTCGCCACACTTCTTGAGAAGGTCTCAAAATCGAACAGCTTTCGGGGATCCGACCACTCAAAGTGTCCTACACGCTCGTATAAGTCCGAGTCTGACTTCTGCTGCATTACCAGGACAAAGAACCGCGGCATTTCCTCCCAAGTAGCTTGCAATTTGATCGGTATCCCAACAAGCAGCTGTTGCCGAAATTTATGATCAGTCCACCTCATGGCTTTATCTAGGGAATGTATGAGGCCAGGTGGGTCAGCGCTGACCACAACACGATCGATATCTGACGATAAATCACCCATATCAATCCCCGTGTTTTCGATGCCCATCATCTTCAACCCAATGACATCAAATACCTGGTTTTCAAATAGAAAAGCGTGGCAATCAAGAGCCAAAACCCGAAGCTGGCTCTGGTCACTCCTTGCACCAGTCTGAAGGTAAGGGCCTAGTTCGGACCATTCCGTGCGAGTTCGATCAAGGCTCTCAAAAGCAACATAAATGTCATTCTCCATCAAACTATCAGGGCGAACTGCATCGTTGTGAGGATGTAGTATGGCTACACCTTTCCATCCGGCCCACGACCACGAGGGGAAGCCATGGCGGCGGGCAGGTGGTTCCCCATCAGGTGGCTCTCCCAGGCTCCAGCAGAGACCAGCCAAGAAGCCCTTAGGGGATCGGGTCCAATTTTTCGGGCTACACAAGACTGGAATACCCCAGATGTTGTGTATGGGAGGCTTGAGCTTGGAGAATTGGCCAAGTATTCCTTGGAAGGCATTGAGAATATCATCTTCGTTGCCGAGTTTCCGATGAGTGTATTCGTATATCCGGTCACCAATCTCAAGTGAATATGGTGCGGTTCGGAAACGGGGAAACATGTCATCGTTGGATGCCGATCCGACTCGATCGAAGGGAATATTTAACGCTTCCGAAAACGAGCTGAGCCCGCATTGGAAATACACTTGCTTGTCCGTAAACACCAACCGCCGAGATGAGAGCACTCCTTCTTGGTATGTCCAACCACGTGTCGACCAAGCAGAGGATGATATGTCGTCCTTGGTTGAACCATAAGACCAGGTTAAGTACCCGCTTCGAAGCTTGACGTGTGGTTGAGCCGATCGTCGAGTCTTGCTCACACCTGGTAGGCCGTACGTAGGATCCGATCCTACTGCGGCCACAATAGTTGCTTGGGCTGATCCGTAAATCTCTGCCATGAGTCGAATCTGAGAATGCTTGTCGCCTTCGTCGTGTTGGCGAATGCAATATTGATCTACCCATAAGTATCGGAAACCCAGCTTGTCGGTAACAGTGAGGCTATCTTCAATGGTGAGAGGAAGGTCTTGTAGCGGCTGGGTGTAGTCTAATTGACGTGGTTGTATGGCTTTACCCCAGACATAACTGAGGGCCAAGAAGGGGGGACATCGCGTGCCGAGGCTCGCTGCTTCAACGACAAGGCGAGTTTTGCAGTCAATGAGTCGAAAGTGCCACTGATTGTCGACTTTCAGAGGCTGGCAATCCGTCTTTCTGCAATGTTTTTGGTTGCAATAATTGAGCCATGCGCGAAGGAGGGGGTAGTCGATGGCACGCGGGTCGAGGGACCGTGGCCCAATGGTTCCATCTGTCCAAGATGGTGGACTGGTGACAGGCTCTCCGATATATCCTCTCAGTCGAAACAGGGCTCTGTGAAATGCCGCCTCGTCACGCGAGTAGCTAGAGACTTCAGGCAGGATGCCGAGTATCCTGAAGTCGAAGCCATCGTCGGGTTCCTTCCAGCCGTAATTTGAGGCGTATCTCCAGGAGGCAGAGATTAAGGTGCCGGATCCCATGCCATCGCCAGCGCAGTAAATTTCAAAAAGTCGACACAATGCGCAGGCACGAGAGACATATTGTCCCACAAAGACCAGTGGGACCACTTCTCCATGGGAAGGTTCTTGGGAAAAGAGTGGGTTAAGGTCGAGCTTTTGGCAACGACGGCAAAGCTTGTCAGGCTCCATCAAAACAATTCAATGTGAAAAGCATTGCACATCTGAAAATATTTTGGCAATGGATGAAACTTGAGAATACTATTTCCTGCCCGAGTTGTGGTTTTTTGACCAGGCAGACTTCACTGCCTCATCATGCCACCTTCCTGATTCCCGAATCAACTTCAGCTGCACTGGCTGCCTCTGTCTTACTCAGCGTTGTATCGGTACACGCAATCGTTCTGAAGATTTTCAATGTAATGAGCTTCGATTTTGCGCAGAATATGCTTGGATCTAATCTTTGCGATGGTTGAATTATAAGGCTTTGATGCTAAATTACACGACTGCAACTGCTGGGATAGGAAAAAGATAAAGCTGGGATAGGAACAGGTAAAGCTGGTACTGAAAGCTTAAATTGCATTGGATAGACCCACGAGTGCCCATCTCCATGTTTGTCACCCGTCCCAGTAGCACCTAGGTATATGGGTGCTCATTCGAAATTCCGCGAAGCAAGCCACGCCTCACTTCGACGCATTCCATTTCCTCAACATCACTTGAACAAGTCCAGAGGTCCGAGATAAAATTATCGTCGGCAGTAAGCGCATCATGTTCCGAGAGCGGGTCGACATGGAACGTCACAAAGTGTGTTTATATCAGCCCTATTTATCCGTCGGGCCCATCCATCGCCAGTACCTCGCAAATCGGTCCGCGCCGAACCATCGGACCCGGTTGGTCCGTCTGGACCTGCATCAGCCGAGATTGTTCAATATGGAACCGGCAGCAAACATGACGGAGATAACTCCCTGCACGACGATCTCCAGACGTATATCAAGTCATGGCCAAGCACCACTGCCCAGAGCTTAACCTGCCACCGCAAGCGCTTGTTCCCTCCCGTCACACCCAAGCCAGTCAGTATGGCCGTCAAGCGCGTCGTGGCCGTCCTGGCACTTGCCACCAGCCTCCTCGCCACGTCGGTACTTGGTGAAGAGCAAGCAAAGTGTGGCCAAGCGAGCTACTACCCATCCGAGTACGCCTGCTACGACAATAAGACACTCTGCCCGATTACGTTCAGCTTGCCGACCAAGCCCTGCGGTGGGGGCTGCTACTCGCCAGAGCAGTACTCATGTGAAGACGAAACGATCAAGGATCTGCCTGAAGCGACGAGCCCCTTCACCCTTACGTTTTCAGGCGTGCGCAAGACTTTCCAGAACCTGAACGTCAAGGCCTGCGGGAGATACCTTGCTGTGGGCGCCAACGCTAGAGAGTGCCATGCTTGCACTGCGGCCGGTGGCACAAACTGCGGGACCTACCAGAACTCGACGGTGCTGCTTCCTGGTGGGGAAATGGTCTGTTGTTCCTTGATATTCCAACCTGAGTAACGATTCTAACACAATGATACAGGCTTCCGACGTTCCCGGCCACCAGTACTGGTACATCAACCCAACCGACGGTATCCTACGATATACCGAAGCTCTCGCTGGTAACGCTTCGCTCTGGAACGCCACCATCCCTGGGAAGGAGTTCGCCGGTCAAAACGTCAAGGTCTACGAAAACGGACTGTTCACATGGACCCGAGAGGATGCCACGACACACTGGTGGATGGCTTGCTTGGTTACGCTGCCTGGTGGTGCTGTTGGAACTGCCAGGTCGTGGCGCATCTATGCTCCCACTTACGTCAACATGGAGAGAGGAGACTGCGAGCTTGGGAGGATTTTCTCCAAGGCGGTGGATAGGAAGGCGGGGGTGTACAAGTACCCATGATACAATAGCCATTGGGAAAGTCCCACCAAGACGGGGGAACAGCACTGGGACTGGTGAACATTGAGCGCCTTTTGCTCATTGGCAAGTACGAGGTTGTCTGTTCGGATGTATATATGACAATACTTACTTTGTGCATAGATAGAAAAAGAGAGATAAAATATCAGACGGTCATAATTCGCCATGGGGTGGCAGTTGGTGATGATGGTTGTGGTCTACCCAGTTGCATGTGCGTCGGGAGAGATATTTATCTTTCCTGCGGGTCAGCCCGGTGGGTGATTCACATGATCGGAGTCACTAGTTGTTGAGAGATAAGCGTTTACGCTATTTGCTCATATTCTTTGAGTAGGTAAGTTTAGGTTACGCCTTCATTCAGCCACACCGAAGGTTACCACAATCATGACTTGCCATTTGTACGAGGGCATCCTCACCACAAAATAGTTGACACAAGTAAGTTAACCCATACTATACTGTGAACTACCTTATGCCTCAAATGTTAATTGATAGGCCTTTAAACGATTTTGCAAGGCCTGTTAACTATCTTTAAGACCTATGGACTGTCCTTCAAGGTATGTTAACCTCGTCTACTGTCTCAATTATTTTGTGGTAGGGGTGGAGGGGTAACCAACACTAACCTCATCGGTCACTGAGGGGCGAATGTGAGGTATGATTGGAGGCAAGCTTGGAGTATGGGGTCACGGAGATAATAATGGCCGTGGGGATTATGTTTTCCGGCGCCCAGCATCTTATACTCCTTCCCGAACCTACAAGTGGCCTCACTAACAGGAAAACCACAGACTTCCCCTTTTCTCAACAGACCTCACCCTTCGACGATCGACAACCACATAATTACCCTCCCAGAATCTTCAAAATGAAAACAGGCCCAACCTTCCCCATCGAAACCACCGCCCTCCTCGTTCCATCCCCCGGTTCACCCTTCACCATATCCCCCGTCCTCATACAAAACCTCCGCCCAAACGAACTTCTAGTTGAGATAAAATACTCCGGCCTATGCCACACCGTAACCCCTCTTCCCCTGTCCCCCCATTGCTCGCAAGCACTAATCAACAACGCCAGGACTTCCTCCTCCGCGACGGCGCCCTCCCAAAAGTAACCTACCCCTCCATCCCAGGCCACGAAGGCACAGGCACCATCCTCGCCATCGGTCCCGCGGTCAAGAACCGTTCCCTTTCTATAGGAGATGACGTCCTCCTCAGCTTCACCTCCTGCAATGAATGCCACCACTGCCTGGAGCAATCCCCCTCGACAAAATGCAAGCTCATGCCACCGCTTAACCTGTCGTGTGTTCGCGACGATGGGACAACGGCATACCAAATGCAAGATGGGACACCGGTTTCGGGACATTTCTTTGGACAGTCGTCGTTTGCCAAGATCGCAGTGGTGAGTGAGCTGAGTGTGGTTCCTATCAAGGGGATGACGGAAGAAGAAATGGGGATTTGGGCGCCGATGGGGTGTGGATATCAGACTGGTGCGGGGACTATACTGGATGTCTTTAAACCCAGAAAGGAGGATGTAGTGGTTATTTTCGGTATGGGAGGGGTAGGGTTTGCTGCTCTCATGGCCGCTGCTTTGATCTTGGAGGTTGAGACAGTTATCGCGGTGGATTTGGTGCAAGAGAAGCTGGATCTGGCGAAGGAGATGGGAGCGAGGTGGGTGATCAACGGAAAAGAAACGCTAGATGTGGTGGGGGAGATGATGAAGATAACTGGGGGAAAGGGGGCGGACTTTGCGGTTGATACCACGGGAGTGGGGAAGGTGGTGCAGGATATGGTTCAGTGTCTTGGGCAAGGCGGCACAGCAGCGAGTGTGGGCGCCCCTGCGCCGGGGGTGAAGATTGAGGTGGACGTGGGGATGTTCTTCGCGTTGAGTAAGAAGTGGATTGGAGTTGTGGAGGGGGAGGTTTGGCCTGTTGAGGTGAGTTAATGAGATGAGGTTGAATCAGAGGAAGAGGCTGACACAGGTCGGGGCTGGCAGTTCATTCCGCGGTTGATACAAGCCTATAAGGAGGGGAAGTTTCCAGTGGACAAGATTAGCAAGGTGTACCCTGTTGAGGATTTCGAGAAAGCTATTGCCGATACAGAGAGTGGGAAGGTAAGTGTAGTGATGTTGGGCCAGGTTCTGTGGCGTTGAACAGCAAACTGACATGGTTATAGATTATCAAGGCTGTTCTCAAGTTTCAATGCCAACTCCAGAGTCCAACACATGGTACCTAGTTTCAAATCAACAAGGAAAGCACATCTGAATTCAAGCAATCTGTGTCTATACAAGAGCATCACGTCCGTATATATGGAACAGTCTTCGAAATTACCTGTCAACACAAATGGCCATCCGCGCAGTCTGGAGAAGGCCCAACAAGCATGATGCAAAGTGACTTTCAATAGTCAGGCCCAACAGTATCCGCCCGAATCTCTTCAGATCCTTCAAAGGTAAAGTTGCTGGGCATCCGCCACTCCCTCTTCAGGCCTACAATGATTAAATCGGGAGTATCCGACAACATTTTATTAAAGTAAATGGCAGCCGCCTTCATAGGCACCATGTTTGGCTCACCGTCAGAAGACCCATCCAGGCCTTCCGCCGCCATGAAAATGTTTCCAACCAACAACGGGAAGTCAGTTTCGTGTACCTTGCTGCCCCAGACCTTTTGTGGGAGATTTTCACAGGCTGCATTCACCTCCAACAAAAGTGTCCAGCACATCTGCTGGAGAAACAACCAGGGAAAGGCCAACTCGAGTGACTCGGCACGAAGTGCGTATGCCGGCGATTGAATCAGGGCCTCCGGGTTCAACATGCCTCCATCAGTCGCCCTTTTCCGAACTTGCTTTCTTGCTGGTCTTGGCTCGTCGAACTCCCGCCCGATCATGGCTCCCATCTCTTCAGCCCGGTCGAGGTCAAACTGGCTTTTAACGATGACCTCGTCAATCTATCTGGGAGTCCAATCGATCCTCCAATTTGTGCCCCCGAGATAGCGCTCAGAAAACATGTCACAGACCGGAGTCCGGGTCTCAATCTTGATGTCACGGCCGCTGAGGCGAGATGACAGAGCATCCCGTCGACGCAGTTCCCTGTCATTCCCGGCGAACGGCGTGATGCTGATGCCCATGTGGAGGCACCAGCGGTTGAAGGATTCTTTTGTGTTGCATGGTGTGTTTTCCACGTGGAAGTTTTTGTCTCCGAGAATCTTGTTGATATGGGCCTACGGCTGGGTATAGGTGTAGGTAATAGGTAAAAGATGGAATTGTTAGATGAAAAGAAAAGAAATGGAAGGTAAAATATATTAACGTGCATGATAAGCGAGCGCCGCAGACAAGCGAGCGCCGCAGATAAGCGAGCGCCGTACTTTCTACCACCCTACCACAGCTATCCTCAATTACACAACCACAACACTAGGAAACAGCGATAACTGAACTAGAAATAGATGAATCAGATAATTCTGCAGCCTCCTGGCATGTACGTGCATTATAGCTAGGCTTACCGCACACGCCACAGCACCGAATCTTCGTACGAGACCCCCCTGCATTACCACTACTTTATTATATTTCCTAGGCTACCTACTTACCTATAGCCTTTTAATTTAGTAGATCTTATACCTCTTATATACTAAGTAACCCTCTAAGCCGCATATAGATTTTTTTAGCTTTCCGTCTCTTATTAAGCTCCTTATTAGC